TATCTAAATACAATAAACTCATTCTATACAAGAGAATTTCAGTATACTCCCTAAAAACCAGATATCCATGACTAAATAATTAAACTGTAATTGTTAACAAATGCAAACATGTAGAAAAAAGTCGTATCAAACTATATTATGTCATAAGCAAGGTAGCAATGTGCCGCAATCACATTACGTCATAAGCAAGGTAGCAATGTGCTGCAAAATATTCTTCTTTTCATTAGACATTACAAATTTAACTAAGGTAACAGACAGTTTAAAAAATCTATTAATAATGCATAACATATATTGATGCATATTACTTGAAGACAACAACTGAACAGTTGCTAGTGAATGTGAGTAAAAAAAATCCAACGTGGGGTAACTCATGAAGCTAATATTAGCTCTAGAAACTGGCAACACAGCCAAAATCTTTAATAACAATATACAGTTGGTTGTTTTAACAGGATGAGCCTACAATACAGCAGGCACTGAAATTACATTAGTTTGTGCATCAAAATACCAAACAATTAAAAATGGGAACATGGTTTTCCTAAATAAACAAGCAAATTAAACAAAGAAGTTTATTTATATAAAATCACTGCTGTAACAAAAACTGGTCCCTAGAGGGTGTTCTGTTAAATAATAATTATATAATATATCTTCTTATACATCATGATGCCCTTAGTTTATTGAAATAATACATGCATAACTGCAAACAACAAAGTGTGATATGACATTGGACATTACCTCCACCAATTTATACTTTGGCCAAAAAATTATATGAAAATGTGGTCGTCAGTGGTGGTTAGTTTAATAACAAACTTGTTCTTGTTACACTGACATGTTCATAATCTTACATGTGATACATCTTGTAGCAATATTACACTTTCTGCCTCATCTGTAACATATCTCATGTTTTGGTGTCTCTGAAAACATATTTCAGCTTGCCAAATGAATGTAGTAAAGTTACAGACACATTAAATTAAAACAATTAATAAAGTTTGGGAAAAATTTGAAGACATTAAATAAAACCCTTTGTCTATACCATGAGTCACTACATGTTTTATTAAAGAAGATGTAAACCTGAAGAGTCCAGAGTCCGTAACATGCATGAAGGATACTTGCACCGAAAGCTGATGAGATTCCTAAATTTTCCACATAGCACACACACTGAGCTCAGTGCCAATATTCAATCTTAACAAATGTGTACTCAAAGCTGTAAAGAATTCCACCAGAAGGCAATATATACTTCCTAAGTTATAATACAGTAAGTATCAAATACTCCAAAGCTACAGCATAACATCCTACAAATACCTCTCCTCCTTATCAATGAAAATGAGCTTATGAAAACACCTAATAAGGAATTTCATTAACAAAAGTTAACAAATAATCTGCCTTCAAACTATAATATTCAGTATCGAGTGATAAATCTTGAATAAAAGGACAATATTTACCTAAAGAATGTCTTCTAAAAAAATCAAAACTGACAAAATTCAGAAACCAGTGAGTCATTAAATGAATTGGATTAAGTCCTAATAAACATTTCAGCCTTCTATTTAGTAGATGATCCTCATAATCTTGGGTTCATAAATCAAAGGTGAACACTGGAATTATTGTACAATATACAAGTACAGGTAAAAGATAACCAGGACTTGGATAATTTGTAAAAGCTCAAAAAAGAAAAATGCAAGAAACAGTCACATTGTTGTTTCTACAAAATCAAAACATTTTCAAGCAGAAGCTGTATTGACATAGTTTGTACTAATTAAGAATCTGGATAAAAAAAATCAAAGACAAATTTCAAATAATGAGCTGGATGAATACGAGAAAGATGCATTTTTAGCACAATATTTACCTCTAGTGATAAAAAAATACATCTTAATCTCACAAAAAAGCTAAATTTAATTTTTACATATGGTTCCTTAAAAGATCAAGAGTTTGATGATCACACTATTTCCAAGTAGACTGAAGTTTGGAATGCTCTGCTCTAAATTCATACTATACTGCAGTGTATCAGTAGATTTTTTTTTAAGCACAAAGCTATACAATGGGCTGTCTTTGCTTTTTAGCATTATAAGGCATTAAGCTTACCTTTGAGCCATTGGGAGGCATACCAGTACCTGACTTTTCTAGCTAACAAGATTGTTTCAAAGTTTAGTGTGTATATTCCAATTAAAAATTGTGTGATAATATCCATTGAAATAAGAAACTTAAGGTGATAAAAAGAGGTTGAGACACTTCAGTTAATAGAACAGTAAATCATGTTTGTTCTCACAAAATCTTATTCATTGTAGAGAAATCTTCTGTTCTGAAAGACAAACTTTGAAATATGGATGAATGATAAAGCACAGACAATAGATTCAGTCACATCTCTATCTGTGTGTTTAGATACTTAATTATCTACACATACAAAAACTGTTGAATATACTTGTGGATAAAATGCCCATTTTTCAAATCCATTCCCGATATAATTTACAGGATGATGAACTCCCATGATATTCAGAGTTACACAAGTAATACAAGCCATTCAATGTAACTTGCAGAAAGAAAAGATAGTATAACAAAAGCTGCTGAAAATGACTTAATTTTATATGATCATGTCAAGTTCAAGCATATGATTACTGTTTATTTGTTGTTGATATTATGTAGTGTAATGCACTAAGCTACGAACCGTAAACCAAAACACAACAAATAAAAAATGTAAAACTCCAGAAAGTTTTGCAAAAGTTAAATATCTATGTATGTTTCTGAAACCCCATTGATAATGAACATCTACAGGATCAACGTTCACTACTTGTCCACCTGACCCATAGATTGAAAGAGCATTATGTATAACAATGTGTGAAAGTATGGCTAAACGTACATCCTGTAATACCTTACAGAGGAGCAAAAATTTCATTTTTTTTTTAGACTTTACATGATGAACTGATCATGTGTTCTACGACTATACCACTTCTACAAATCCAGATTAACCATGTAAGAAAGCAATTAATAATAAATCTACTCATTCCAAACATCTGTCAAGTTGTAAGGGCATCAGTCATACTAGCCATTTTATTTATATGAAAACAGCAGGTCTTGAAATATCCAATTTGATTTAGCTTTAGATAAGTAAATTGAGAAATTGTCAGAAAATGCTAGTAAAATGTCAAACAAATCACATACTGATTTTTTCTATTATATACACTTACAGTAAAAGAATAAAAGAAAAACAAATGCTTTAAATTGTTCATTTTATTGATATAGTGTTATCTGAATGTACTTGTACTAAAACCATGATAACATCAATCTTAATCTCCTAAAAACATTTTAACTTATGAGAAATGTGTTAGTACAAGGATATTAGAAACTTCTAGAAATTTGTAATATTAAATCAGCCCTTTTAAATACCTCTAATTATGCAAAAAAAGGCAATGTCCATGATTTCATAAAAGTATTTATTGCTTCATTGTCCAGATCTTAAAGTACTCTTCCCAAGGTACTGAGACATTTTCAAAAACCACATTTAAATGATAAATGTTATTGACCATCACACAAACCCTAGCAAATACATATATACAAATACTACTTAAAACAAAGACCTATATCATACAAACACATCTTGCCAACACTGTAAGGCCAAAACTAACTATATACACACTAAGCTTAATTATTTGTGTATGTTTGTGAAGTTTAAAAAAGCTAATAACAAATGTTATTTCAATACAATTCTATATTTTGCTGTAATGTTAGTAATAATCTAAAAGTAACACAAGATATATATAAATTAGGTATAACTCATATATTAAATTATATCAATAACACTACATGGGTTGACTCAATGTAACATTAAACAACATAATGTTGCATATAATTTGCACTCAATATTTAGTGAATTATAATGAGCTAGCAGCATGCAAACTGTCACAACTAAAATATAATAAACAAGTACTCTATGCAGCTGTAATTGTAGATATATTGCCACACATAGCAACTATAATTTTATTTATTACGATATTTGAGTATTAGGCTATTACATTTTATAACACAACATTCATTATTCAGTACCGTTTAGCCTTTATAAATAGTATTTTGACTATTAATCTGTTTTTTGTATTCCAGTTAGCTAATAAGCTCTGTACTGAGTGAAATGCATTGGCAGCAATAAACAGGGTGGTTGAAATACTATAATACCCCATAATACCTAAGACAAGTATAATTATAATAATGTTTTGCCAATTTGGAAAAGGCACTTACACCATAACAAATGCACAGCATCTGATGCTAGAAGTGTGTTGTTGCAGAAAAAAAAAGGTATGATATACAAGACTAAAAAATCCATTTCTGAGAAATGCTGGAGTAGAAATATCACGATGTTTATAAGAAGAGATAAAGTTTTGAACCTGTTTTCTTTGATGTGATGTATTAGGGAGATTTGATATAAGATTACTTGAGAAGGCTGAAAGTGAAAGTGCTGGAATACAAATATGAATGTTAGCCAGGTAACAAATGTATGTCTTGGAAGCTCAGATGCAAACTCTCTTTTATAAAGTTTTTTCTCAGTTGCTAATAAATTTATGGAGTGGTTTGCCTGATGTATTAAGTGTAGTTAGTTTGAATTATTTTCAAATTTAGTTTGACAACTAAGTGGATGCAAGCAAACTTCAAAAGTTAAGATCACCTCTAACTTTAATTTTTTTTTAAAGAGAAAATAAAGATTTTAACTAACCATATAATTATAAGACAACTCTTCTGAACTCAGAATCATCTTAGCGTTCTTAACGCTATGCATTATTGTTAATCATACCTAACAATTATTATTATTATAGCAATTATTCCATGGAATATAGTCACACTCACACACGGATGGAACGGCAACTTCTGGTAAATAAATTAACATTAATATGTTTTACTTTTAGTGGTTTTAAAATATATCTATTCTTATGGAACAGATAAGATAAAAGTAAAATGACGGTAAGATAAAGAATTACTTCAAATATGTCATTCATAAAAACAAATTGTAATCCAACCCTTACCTAAAACTCAAAGTTCAACGGATCACAACTCAATCCCAAGTGATTTACACTTTACACATTATATTGAACGAACAGTAATACCAACTGGAGCGCACTCTGTAAAAGATTACACATAAGTAAATAAAGGTTATAAATAATAATTATATATACATATGAAACGTGATCATTACTATGGTATGTATGATGCTACTAATAGTTATAAATATTTAACTAATTTAATTCAATGTAGTGCCAACTAATATTAGAAAATATTATTAAATTAAAATATAATGTTTAACGTTGACAAAGTTTGATGAATCAATAAATAACTCATTACAGAAATTTAATGAATTTTGGTATAGCGCTTATTTTCATTACGTACATATTTGTGTTTTAAGTGTCAATACAGAGTCAATATTGTAAAAGGGCACCAACAGATTAGACCTTGGAGTAACTAAAGATTACCAGGTTTATTGACTGGGAATTTTGATGGCTTGAGACTAGGTACTTACCTTTATCGTTGATAATAAAGGCAAATGTCGTTCCTTATAAGTAAATTGGAGGTACATATATTGACCATTCTCTTGGTGTTTTTGAACTATAGCGCAATATTTTTCATTGTTTTTATTTATTTATTTTTTGTTGTTGTAGAAAATAAGTAATTTATCCACTATAAAAGAAAAAGTATTGTTATGACAGCGGAAGTCACAGGACGCTAGTAACACGTCATGAGATTCTCGAAAGATCTTGACTTTTCCTGGCAACTCTAGTCGGTTCTAGGCCCCCTCTTTTTGTATATAAGCCCGGCTTTAAAGTAGAGATAAAATTGCAGATAGATAGATATAGAGACAGATAATTGAGTCAAGCGAGCGGTAGTGACTGTAATATAAAGTGTGTGTTTTGTTATCGAGGTTGCAAACGTATTGACTGTAAAAATTCTGTGTATTGCAAGTTGTATCGAGAAAGAATAAACTAGTTTTAATTAAGAAAGGACTTGTATCGCTGAAATTTCTCGGAAAGAATTTCTACGGGAAATTAACAAACAAGCACATACGTAACAGTAGTATTTTGAACGTTTATGTATTTTATAAGTAAACTGATAGGCTATCTGTTGTATTTGGAATTTGTTAAAGGGAAAAATGTTAATTTCGTATGATCAACTAGGAGTTATATGAACATTTCAGTACAGATACTGTTGTTAACAACTTTACACAAGTTTATATACAAATGTTTAAATATAAGATGGTTTTAAATGTATAAAGTTACTGTTTTCTCGCTGGTGGTTAGGGTGAGTTTTACATAAGCATGATTGTGAATTTTCTGATTTGTTTGTGTTGCATATTAACTGCTAAATAAATTAAAAACTTTTTCAACAATAACAATTGTTTAGATGACTCTCCTTTTCGCCTCTCAGAAAGTGTCATTATCGTAATTTTGCAGTGAAAAACTTTCATAATCATAGCTATCTTTTAAAAGTTATCAAGCTCTATTATCACTTTTTGTATTACGAATTTTGGTTTGTATTTCACAGAATTATGAACACAAGAGTTAAGTCAAAGTATGTAATGCAATCACAAAGAAAAATCCACTAGAGGTTCAATACATAGTACACAGACTAATTAATTTGATTTGATTTTTGTTAGTTTTTCATTTGTTGGATCCATAAACTTAATATACGAGAAAGGCTGGCGGACATGTATATAAGACGCACTGGATCCGAAGCTCCGCCTTTTTTGTGTCGTTAGCTGTGAGTGAGTAGGGGCGTTCCTGTAGCGAATTTGTTGTTATGTATTTATTTTAATATGAACGCTGTTTAGATTAAGTTTATATTTAGAAACATACATAGCTTATACTGTTAGATAGGTATTGCGAAACTCCCACCTATTCTCCAAAGTTGTAGAAGATTCTCGAGAGTACGAATCAACAAGATATCTATATAAGTAAACGCTTTAACCAGTATTGTTACGTAAGACTGAAATTTCTAGAACGCCTCCACACGACTTTAAATATAACCAACGCGACGCGCCAAAAGGGAGTGTCTATTATCAATTCGCTATATATCGGTGTGATATATAACTTTGAAAGTTATAACTGTGATTGTTATAATACTTATCAATCAGAAAACTTAAGATATCTGACCAGGAATACTTATAAATTTCGAATGTTACAAATCATTTAATTTCAGTGGATTCTCATCGGACATTAGTAATTTTACGAAGACATATGAATTCATCGTGGAAACCTAATGTGTGTGACCAAGGACAAAGCTAGCTAGATTCCCAGTGGATCGTATCTACATCAACTCGTAATTAACTCACTCATCGCGAACTCTCGATAAGATATCAAGGAGGTTCCAGACTAGAAAAAAAACTTTATATTGTTTGTAAGTTTGTGAAACTTTTGTTTATAAATCTTTGTTTGTGATAACTATTTGTAATAATTGTTACTGTAAGTTGTATTGTTATGTGTATATTAAAACACATTCGTGTTTAAAACGAAGACGTTGTGTATCAATCTTCTTGGCAAATATTGTAAATTGACTAAAATATCAGCATATATTTAAATACTAAATCCAAAGTACAATTTAACTACTAAATTTAAATCATCAGTTAACTCGGCTTCGGACCATTTAAAATACTAATACGTAACATTCCTAATAAATATACTTAAAAAACTTAATAGTTAATTGGTTTTTGCATCTGAACAAATATTCATGATTTTAAAAACCAAATTAGGCTTTATGAATTCTTTGTTGACAATGTTTTGTCATTTATCAATAGGCATTAAGAAACAAAATTTATCGGTAACTATAATATGAACAAATAGAGGATCTCAAATCTTTGTGCTTACGTTGTATAGAGGGACCTATACATTGTTCCTGCGATACAGAACATTGAATATCAATGAAAGAAACTATTTTAATACCAATTAATATGCAAAGTTTTCCTATGCTCATTCATCAGTGGTGACGATTTAAGTTTCGGTTGAGGAAGGAGTAGTTAAACACCTTTAAAACGCCACAAAAAGTAGTTTTAAAAACATTTTACAACTTCGGTCAACTAACAATGAAATCCAGCTGGAGTGGAGAAAGCAACTGCCACCCCCAACCTTCTACCTCCCCTAAACATCGCCACTGTTAGTGTTCTTCATGGTAAGAAATACTAGAAAAAATATTTTATTTTAGAATAAATCATGAGATGAATAAACCCATAGGAACAAACTTGTGAAAGAATCGCTGTTAAATTAAGATTTACTCTTTATTTTATTTTCTGAACTGCTGAAAAAACATAATTAAGTAGATTAAACTAGCCTTTACCTTTAGCCAGCGTCTTAACTCCTATAACTTAGTTTTAACTTGAACGTGGCCTTATTAAACAATACGCTACTGACTTGTTACTGACCCACCAAGTTGTGACAAAAAATAAATAAATAAATAAACAGTGAGTGTTCCAAATGGAAAATCAATACAAAACCCACATACTTGTAAAACAGTTCCAGGCTTTTGTACACTCAGATTTGTAAGAGTAGCAAGTTTTTCTACCCGATTTTTTTTTTTCAAACAGAAAGATTTGTTGTTGCTTTAGCTGTAAGTTTCTTGATTGCTACAAAACATGTCCGAAGAACCAAAAATGTGACGTAAATCCAATTTTTCACCACGTGTATTAGGTTTATGATCAGATCCTTATTTGCTTCTTTAGTAGGTGGTGTTCTCACGGGAATATCATTTTAAAAAGTATTTTTAAGAAATGAACTTAGCGAATTGTTCTGTTAAATTTAAGAAATTGTGAGAAGTGAGTTTCTAATTTATAAATGTTAGACTTTTTCGAATAAACTGTTAAGTTATTGCTTCTCAATAAGCCTATTAATAATCTGCCAATTCTTTAAGATCTCCAAGTTGAGAGTTTGGTACATAACAGTATGGTGTTAATGATTGAACTGACAATTAAGAATTGGCTACAGGTTTAAGAAATCTTACAAACATTGCGGAAGTTTTCGAAATCTTTTAACACGGACGAGAAGATTAAGATAAAATGGTGGAAGAATGGGACGAAAAACAGAAGATGAGTTCAAGCAACCTGCACAGTTTTTGTCATAAATTTGAAAAATACCACTGTGACTTTTTATGAATATTTCTTTGACAAATTGAAATTAGCCAAGCATAATCTCCAAATAGGGTAAAATGTAAATACTGGCAAATCTAGATTTCTGTGTAACATTAGAGTGTGTTTATGTACTCTGAAAATTCTATGAGTTTAAAATTAGCCTTAAACAAGATACTATTCTGAGGATGACCATTATTTAAGTAAAGACTATCAAAAACGATTATTATAATGCTAATTTGATCATTAAAGATTACAAAAACAACCACAACCGTTAAAAAAAGTCGTGATGGAACGGAATGTATCACAACAACAGGGTAACTTCTGGATACCTTTTTCTTCCTGCCACTTTTGGGTGTTTCTAGCAGTGTGATACGGTGCTCCATATTCCTGGAACAACGTTGTGTTCTTATCCACGAAACCCGAGGAATAAAGTGGCAAGAGTCCTTCCTCCAATATTTCGACGTATTTCGCAAAATTTATGTTGCCAACGCACTCCACTAAGCTCGATCTCCCACCAACCCAAACAGCTCCCCAAACCATCATGCTGAAACCACCATGCTTCACAGTTGGCTGCAATCTGTTGAGCCAAAAGTCTTGGGGAGGCATTCTCCATACCCATATCCTTCCACTGTCCGAAAATTGAGCGAATCTTGATTCGTCTGAGAACAATAGGGTCTTCCAAAAGTCCAGAGGCTTGGTCATCATATTACTTGCCCACTTCTTTCGTCTGACTATGTTGGCAGGTCTTAATAAGGGCTTCCGTCTAGTTGCTCTGCAACGATAACCCAATCTGTGGAGAATCCGTTGAACAGATTTCGGGCTCATCCCACCAACTTTGGCCACTTCTGCAGATCCATTTCGATGCCCCTCTTGACAGCCCCTTTTTGTCCTCTCCGATGGACCAGGACGACTCGGAAGCTGCTCAGTTGTTTCCTTGCCGTGTTTCCTGAACTTCACGATGATTCTGTTGACTGTGGAAAGCGGGATTCCCAAA